AGCCACCGCGCCCAGCCAAGAGCTTCCAATATTTTTGACTGTTCACCTCTGTTGTTCATGTTGCACACTCAGCACATATTTCTCTTCTCACGGTCCAATACTAAATATGCACTGGCTCTCACCTTTACTCACTGAAGTGCTTGCCCCACTGTCTTCATCCTTTTTATCCTCAGACATCTGTTTCGGAAATATAGATTATTAAGAGTGATCTCAGTTGTTTCTCACTAATATCTACTTGTTAAGAAACACTATTGCTGAGGCCCTTTGCCAATGTTTAATTTTAAACATTCAGTTTAAATAAGTGCTTATTGAGTTAACTCATAAGTTAAATAAGTACTTATTGAGTTAAATAATAAGTTGAATAAGTACTTATTGAGTTCCTGTTTATAGTGATCCTACTTCTGCTGCCTAATAAGACCATGCTTTGATAGCAGAATCTATCAAAATGTTTTGAACCAAGAAAAATGGAACAAGGACTGGAGAGAAAATCATACTGATAAGGAGCTATAGGCTATAAAGTTTCCCTGTGTATCCATTTAAATTGCAGAGAAATAGCATTTAAAAACAGATTTATAGTACTCAGATTAGTTTAAAATTAATTTTTAAGGACATTTGATCAGGTCACATTATTGATAGTTCTTTAAGTAAGATGTCTAATATGTGACATATACACACACAAAGATCTTTAACTGAATTCATAGACTTAATATCTCCTTAATCCTTCAGAAAGTTTCCTTCAAAATGCAACCATAACATGTTATTTGTGAATATTGCATCCAGAAGAAATGAATTTCTTTGAATAGTTCTAATTTCAAATATTCTGCCCCATTACTCCATAAATATATTTGTCCCATTTTTCAGATTAGTGTGCCACTTTCTAATGATGAAAATGGTTCTGCCAAAAGATACATATATATAAGTCTTTCAGAATGTATCAAAAACTTCAGAAATTTTCATTAACACCTTTGACACATAATTCTTCCTTTGGGAATCTATTACGAGGAAGTAACCCCCAAAAGAGAGAAAGATTTGTGCACTTGTGCATGGAAATATTCATTACAGTGTAACTAGGATAATGTAAAATTCAAAATTCAAAAGTATACAATGGTTAAGTAAATTACAGTACAATCATATGATATATAGTAATAAAAATTATAATAAAATTATGTAATGAGGAAATAAGTATGTTACAATACTGGGTTAAACATCAAGATGCAGACTTGTATACATAGCATAATCACAAGTTAGCTAAAAAAATGGCTTAAGAAATGTACAGAAGTCTCTTTTTTATTTATTTATTTTTTATTTTTATTTTTTTTTGAGACAAAGTCTCACTTTGTTGCCCGGGCTAGAGTGCTGCAGCGTGAGCCTAGCTCACAGCAACCTCAAACTCCTGGGCTCAAGCGATCCTCCTGCCTCAGCCTCCCGAGTAGCTGGGACTACAGGCATGCGCCACCATGCCCGGCTAATTTTTTCTATATATTTTTAGTTGTCCGATTAATTTCTTTCTATTTTTAGTAGAGACGGGGTCTCGCTCTTGCTCAGGCTGGTCTCAAACTCCTGAGCTCAAAGGATCTGCCCTCCTCGGCCTCCCAGAGTTTTAGGATTACAGGCGTGAGCCACCACACCTGGCCAGAAGTTTCTTTTTTAAACATATAAAAGTAGCAATAGTTGGCTTTAAGGGATAAAACTATCTACAAATTATCTATAGTTAGGAAAAAAAATGATTTTATGTAGAAAGTCAAGCTTCCTTTGGGTTGAAAAGTGCCATACTTGGGTATTTGTAACTGCAATCTAAGATCCTTAACTCATTCTTAATATCTGATCTCAACAGTGGTAGGCAAGTATCTCAAATAACGTACCTCTTTGCCTTTTGGTTATAGCAACCTCTCTGAAAACCTTACAAGCGGAGTTTTCTTTTAAGGTATCTCTTTTTTAAAAATCATGGGGTGGGGCTTAAATATTTAAAATTTAATATGTAGAAGGGAAATTATTAAAAGATTGGATGTTTATAAACTTAAAAGTAGTTGGTTATTTCTATATAATCTGGAGTGATTTTTATTTCATTTTGTATACTTTCCTATAATTTCCACATTTTCTATAATGTGTTCTTTTGTAATAGAAGGGGGGAAAGTGTTTAAAAACACTTATTAGGCTTATTTCATTTCCATAGAAAGCTCCCACATTTGATGTCAAATCAAAACATAACCACAAAAATCAAAAGAAAGATTTTGCATTAAGCTAAGTGGAGTCATATGAACTGTGGTTGCAAGAAAAGCATTTTATTAACTGTCTTTGTGTGTGACTTGGTGAGTGAAAACAGGGCAGGGTAGAAAATGTGGGCTGCAGCTCTCTCTGCCACTAACCAGCTCTGTGGTTTTACTAACCACTTAACACCTCCTAAGCACACTTTGCACATATGCAAAATAAGGAGTTTGGGCTAGGATTGTCCAGAAAAATACCAGCAACTAGCAATCTGAATAAACACTAAACATATAAACTAAATATAGTATTTATAGTCTCTGAAAGCAAAAGGGTAAATGCATCTTAAAAAGTGGCAGATCCAGAGGAAATCAGCCAGCCTGCTTCATGTTGGAGGATAATTACCACCATATTTCCATCATGCTTTTACCATTACTTCAAGGTTTGTAAATAAAGGCTCATAGTTTAGCAGAGAAAATGAAGAAGTTCAAAGTGAAGGAAAAAATCCATCCTCCTTCACTAGCTCTCATATGGTTCTCAGATTTCAAATCTGGGGCCCTTCAGAAGAAGCAGTCCAGCCAATTGTAGCTGCCACCAGGGTACAAAGTGAAAGACGAAACCTCTACAATAATTAAGGTTTTAATCAACACTGAATAGGTCTAATTCAACACTAAAAACTATACTTTGAAACAAACAAATAATATGGCAGGAAATCTGGGTCTATTCCCCCTTTGTCACTAACCGCTTGTGTGACATTGGACAAGTCACTTAATTTCCTTGAGCCTTATCAATAAAAAAAGGCAGGGTGAGAGATAATGATATTTTACTTGCCTATAGACAGGAGGCTGGGCTACACACTCTCTTGAGGTTCCTGAAGCTCAGAGCTCCATGACTCCAAAGAGCTGATGCAAGCAAGGGAGCAGAGGAATAGCTTAGACCTCATAAGTGGTCTTCATGATGAAATTGCCAGTGATCAATTTCAATTTTTTGTTAATTTTCTAAAGTAGCTTTTCTTGCCAGGCCAGACAAATTTAATATACTTAGCCAGGGAGTTTAAGACACATATAAGCTATCACTACTCTAAATCTCCTTTTGGCAAAGTATTTACCGTAAGAAGCATTTAGACTTTAGATGAAACTTCTTGGCGAGGAGGTGGTGGGGAGAAGTCTTTGATTATTATAATGGAATCCAGCTGGCATGGACAGAACACACTTTCTCCTCTCCATCCTGAGCTGACCTAGCACTAAGTCTAACTGACCACTGCCAGCCCAGGGCTATAATGCTAATGATGGTAATTTGCTTAATCATCAGCCTGGTATCAATAGCCAGCAAGGATTCCATGTCAGCAAATTGTTAAAATCTTGGTTACTCATAATATGTTGGAGGCATCACAGTCCTGATAAAGTGGACTATCTCATTCTTAAGAAGATGGCATTTTCTTCTGGTGTCAGGAGTGGTGACTTTAGTTTTATTTTATTTAATTCTACATCTTGTTCTATGTAGAAAGTATATTGCCTCATACCAAAAACCCCCAGATCCTACATGCATTCTATAAAAAAGAATTTGGAAGTCATTGACCAGTAGGGAAGTTTGTCCCAGCATTACATAGCATATGGACAAAATACAAATAATCTAAATGTTTCAAAATTGCAGAATTTTTATGGTACAACCAAAAAAACAGAAAATTATGCAGTCATTAAAATTGCTACTGAATGAAAATAATTTGGGGAAGTATTTATATTACTAAGTTTAAAAAGTAGGATATGAAAATATATACAATATAATGCAAATCATGAAAGATCAAAGATAGAAAGCTGGAGAGAGAGAGAGATTGGGAAGAGAGAGAGAAAAAAATTAGGACATACTCCAAAATGTTAACAGTGGTTATTTCTGGGAACTCAGATAACAGTAGTTTTAAATTTTTTTCTTCATCTTTTTCACATTCTTGCACTCTCTAGAATGAGACTGCATTATTTTTGAAACTAAAAAACAAACTTTAAAAAAGTAGTTCCATCAAAGTAAAGTAAATTTATTTTATGGAAAAATTCCCTAGCATACAGTAAACATATTAGTTAAAATGAAAAAGTATATCCTACCCAGATAGAAGTCCGAGAGAAGAACATCAGGAACAATATAATGACAAAATACCAAAGCAGGAAGCTCCCTATTGTTCCACAAGAGTCTTCCTTCCGGCATTCATAATCTTGATTTGGAATAGCAAAACTTAAAGGCATAGGGGGAGGATCCACATCCCAAAATAAAGAAAAGAGGTCTCCCATGATGGTTTCTTGCTTAGAAAATAAAACATGCTCAAAGTGATGATGTTGGGAACTACTTCACTGCATGATGTATGACAACTTCCTTGGCAACCTATTATGACATGTACTTAAGCAACTGTTACAGGAACTGACAAACATTTCTTGGATTTCTAAGGTTTTTGGAATATTTATCCAAATTACTTCTATGAAAGTTTATGATATTTTCCCCCATACCTCCCCCATTTCTACCATACATAAGGCAGAATGTATGGTACATTCTGCCTTAATCTTTTTCTCTTAAAATTTATATATATTGTATTTTCAGACCTTTACATCTAAGTGCCTAAGGTATTCACTCATTTTTATCCAGTCTCTTTTATATGTATACCATTGTATTAATAAATTAAGATATACAGTTCTGATGTATTACAGACTGAATCATGTTCCCCAAAACTCATACATTGAAGCCCTCACCCCCAATTTGACTATATTTGAAATAGGGCCTTTATAAAGGTAATTAAAGTTAAATGAGGTCCTAAGGGTGGGTCCCTAATCCAATACAACTGGTATCTTTATAATAAGAGGAAGAAACACCAAAGATTCAAGAGCACAGAAAACAAGGCCATCTGAGGACACAGGAGAAGGTGGCCATCTGCAAGCCAAGGAGACTGGCCTCAGGAGAAACCAACCCTGCTGACATCTTGATGTTGGACTTCCAGCCTCCAAAATTTTAAAAAAGTAAATCTCTGTTCTTCAAGCCACCCTATCTGTGATATTTTGTTATAGCAGCCCTAATACATAATGCCAACTGTCTATTAAATTTGGTCAGTACTGTTCTTTTTTAAGCCTTGAATAAATGCACAATAGCTTGTAGATTACATTAAGCAGGAAAAACATACATGTGCCTATTATGAACCACATCAAATGTCTACAATTTCTTCTTAGGAAAGAGTCAGACATGGGGGAGGTGGGAACCTGGTATTCTAATTTTGACTATACATTCAACCTTTTCACTTTGAACAATTTTCAAGATAGTTCATCTCTAAATCTAAAACTAGAGCAAAACAACATTGCTGCTAAGGCAATCTAAAAATGATAAAAATCTCACTTAAAAATCTGTTAGAGCATTAAGAGCCCTGCAAACCTGCAGATTTTCATTAATATGCAATACCATGAGGAAACTTTATTTTCTTCTATTTAACCTTAGGATCATTTTAAGAAAAATTTTGGTCATTGGACATCCATTATGTAATAATCCACTAGCTTATTATGACATGGCTTAATGATTTTATTAGGAGGCACATTTCGCCACATGTAGAACAAGGCTCCAGGCCTTGCGTGTTCTCAGGTTCTGCGCTTCCTGGCTGTTGACCATTTACCTTGGGCGGGTGTCACCTCCTCCAGGAAGCTCCCTGGGAGCCTGGGCTGGGCTGGGCTGGACTTGCCTCCTTGGGGCTCACCCCGCCCACCTCACCTGCCCACCTAGAGCATCTGCGGGGGGCGGGGGGCGGGGGGGAGCCCAGGGTTGAGTTCCTCCTGGCAGTAACCCAGGAGCTCTTACTTTCTGTATCCCCGCGCCTGGCCCAGTGACACACTGTAGGCATTTGTATTTGTTAAATTAAACCAAACTCAACTCCCTGATGAACCTTTTCATTAGGATTAGTTCTTCTAAAGAATATGCAGGAAAACGTTATTTTTTTTTAGCCTCAAAACCGCTAGCAACTTCAGTAAAACAAATTTTGGGTTTGCTTGTTACTGCAGCACCCTCAACACACGGATATTTAAGAAGTTACGTTGAGTCAGAACTCTTGACATGTATGTTTTAACACAGGGGAAAGAAATGCTTTGTCATTGCTGATGATGTCTGGACACATTATCACGCATTCTGTATTTAAAAATTAGCCACCCTGCTTAATCTGCTTACAAATGTGAGTCCATAAATGCCCTAAGGAAGCTAAAATTATACTAATATATACAAAATTCAGCTTGTTATAATTATTACTTTTTACTGTGGGTTCAGAACCTGGTCTGAATTTTGCTGCTCAGCTTTCTCCCCGCAGCTCAGTGGGAGCCACAAATCCGAGAGCCGTTTCCCTGGTAACGCTCCTAGCCGCCTGTCCCTCCGCCTCTCTCCTCTTCTCGCGAGAAGAGACGACCCAGTTTTTCCGGTAACTGTAGCCTCGCCCGCCGCTCGCCTCTACCATAGCACTCGACTTCGCGCATGTGCAGTAGAGAGTGGCGCGAGCCCGCGGCTTCCGGCCGGAGAGCATGGTGCGTTTTCGGGGTCATCTTTGTGTTTCCTGGACGTGGAGTCCTCGCGGGCTGTGGGAGTTCCGCGCCTGCTGATCTGCCCAGGGTCTACCCAAGGCAGAATGTGGCTAGGCGTCCCGACACCCGTGGTAGAAGGGAAGAAAGAAGCAATAGGGGTAGCTAAAGTTTGTGCTGAGGGAGCCAGGGAGGGAAGCTCTCCGGACTGGGAAGTTTGGACGCGGGGGCTGGGTGGCGGGAAGGGTAGAACTGCTAGAACAAGTTTTCCACTTGACTACAAGAGTTGAGCCCAGCAAAACAAAGGAAGTATAAAACCCAATGTGTAGTAAAACTTATGGCACACTTTCCCCACTGTCTCTCAGTCCCTTCACACCTTGGGTGCCCGCGCTTCTAAAACTTAAATCCTTGTACTTTATTGGCACACAAAACGGAGATCCCTGGCATACAGCGGTCCACGTGTAGAGTTGTTTAAGGTTGTAGATAGTAATGGTTTCTGCATAAAGATGTAGGAGTCTTTATGATTTATAGTATATATGGAATATTTGCTCCCAGAACTTGATCTTTTGAGTTTCTGAAATTAGCCCTCTGCCTAGTCCTTGTGACATACTCCAACTACAAAAGAGGGAGTAATTGCAATGTAATTGCAGCCCTTAAATACCAAAATAAGACATTTTTATTTATTGGAAGTACTAAATTGTTACCTGAAATAACCAGCCAGTTCTCTTGTTGATTACACTGTGATGCCAATGAAGGTATAATTCAGCATTCTGTTTTACTATAGGAATATTTTTAACGAAGAAAGTTTTGGTAAGATTTTAAAGATGAGGCTAAGTGTGTGCAATTTTAGTTACCTTTATAAAGGGCACAACATTTGATTTCTTAAATGGAGAACTAATTTCTCTGGACTAATTCCTGTGCTTTTTGTTTTCGAATAGATGCAAGGAGAGCCAAACACGAGTGCTTCCCTTATTGACAGGACTATCAAGATGAGAAAAGAAACAGAGGCTAAGAAAGTGGTTTTAGCCTGGGGACTCCTAAATGTATCTATGGCTGGAATGATATACACTGAAATGTAAGTTTATCAACCCAAAAAAGTGAAAATTTAAGAAGCCAATGACAGGTTTTTGTGTTTTGATTTTTGGCATTTTTTAAGTTATCAAAAAGACTTTCTAATTTTTTCAGGACTGGAAAATTAATTAGTTCATATTATAATGTGACATACTGGCCCCTCTGGTATATCGGTAAGTAATTAATTTTCGTTATAATTTCAGTTTACAACCGATGAAAAACTGCTTTTAGGTTTAATTCAACTTAACATTCATTTCTTCATTCAACAAATATTTGAGTGCCTACTGTGTTCTAACGGCTGGGAATACAGAGGAAGGGAACAAGGTAAAACCCTGTCCTTACGGAAGGAACATTCTAGTAGAGGAAACAATCAAATTAATAAACAATAGTTTC